GGATACGAATTGCATGCGCAGCACAATTCGACTGTGCACGGTGGCCTGAGAATTGTGAAGAGTCGCAGCAATTGAGCACGTCGCCATGGAGGTTTCGTCATTGCACATGCTCGCCGTCGGTCCCGCGTGTTCCAGGGCTCGCGCGATGAACGGCATCCCGCCAAGCTTTCCTGCAGCTGGCGGCGCCGTCTCTAATCTTGCAGACTCAGCGCCTTGTCGCGACCAGACCGCCAGCCTCGCCAATTCCGCATCTACAAGGCATATCTGTCGCGCTCCTGACTCTGTGTTTGTGTCTGCATTGAAATCGCTGCTGTTTGTCGCGCGAAAACAGTCGCAAGCTCCATCTTCCCCAAACTGTCCGAGCGCGCACTCAAGCCGCAAGCTAGCTCGCTCCACCCAACGCAGCTCCTGATCCTGACTTACCAACCACCTCCACACCTCTCCTCCCTGCGCCCAAGACAGGTCTTACTCCCTCCTCCCAACTCTGCAATCCCTGATCCACGTCCATCGCTGCGCTGATATGGGCAAATATACTTTCACCTGGTACGTTCGCGCCTGCCTCACGCCCGCCTAGGCACCTTCCGCGCCCAACTGCTTACACGCGCACAGGGAACACTCGGCCAATGAGGTCTACGTGACTGGCACCTTCGATGACTGGCGGAAGACGGTCAAGCTCGAGAACGAGGATGGCATCTTCAAGAAGACTGTCGAGCTGCCCAAGACCCACACTCAGTACAAGGTGCGCACCTCTCCCGTCGCATACCGTCGGCTTCCCCGTTTGCGCAGACTCTGCTAACACTCTACCACAGTTCGTCGTAAACGGCAACTGGTGTACCAACGACAGCGCGCGCAAGGAAGACGACGGCCACGGTATCATCAACAACGTCCTCCTGCCCGAAGACATCGTCGACGAGGAGCCCGTCAACACCATGTCCTCTGCCGCGCCCGAGTCCACAACCGCTGCGCTAGCCGGCGCTGTGCCCAAAGAGAGTGAGAAGGACGCCAAGTCCAACTCTCCTGTGCCTGGCGCCTTCCCCGAGACACCGTACGCAGAGACACCTGGCAGCGAACCGCAGACCTTCAACGTCGCGCCCATTCCCGCTACCTCTGGCCTCGGCAACCCCATCAAGCTTGCGCCTGGCGAGCCCGTTCCCGAAGCGAGCACTCTCACAGACAACACTGTAGACTCGACTGTCAAGCATGACAAGGAACCCGAGCAAGAGGCTTCTGCATTCGGTATTGCGCCCATCCCCGCTACTGCTGGCGCTGGCAACCCCATCCACCTTGCGCCTGGCGAGACGGTGCCCGACGCCAGTACCTTGACCTCCAACACCGTCGACAGCACAGTCAAGACAGACCCCTCTTCTTACGAGAAGTCCGATGCTCTCCCTCCCCTTGCCTTCACTCCCCAGGCTGAGCGCGACGCCAAGGGTGGCATGTTCGGTATCCCTCCTGTCATGGGTAACATGATCCCAGAATCGAGCCTCCCTATGGGCGCTGATGCCAAGGTCGAGGAGGACACCGGCGTTACGATCCAATCCTCTGCTCCTCACAGCACAACCGCCGATCTCGCCGCCCAAGTTCCCCTAGAGCCTCGCGGTGTCCCCGAAACTGTCACCGAAAGCCAACAGGAGGCTCATGTCGATCCCGAGGCATCTGCCAACCCAGAGGCTGTCATGGACAAGAAGGAGATGGAGCAAGAGCTGAAGGAGACCGTCTCTGAGGCGCCCGCAGCTAGCGGAGACGCTGGTTTGAGCGACACAGCTAAAGCTGCCGCCGCCACTGCTGCCGCTGGCGCGACTGCTGGTGCGGGTCTCTTCACTGCGGCTGTCTACTCTGCCAAGGAGAAGGCTGCTGAGGCTACTGGCATGAACGAGCCCAGCACCTCCACTGCCGATGAGGTTCCGTCCATTGTTGCCGAGAGCCAGAACACAGCACATGCGGAGCCCGAGGCCGCAGCCAGCCCTGAGGCTGTTGCTGAGAAGTCCGCCATGGAGCAGGAACTTCTTAGCGAGGTACCCAAGACCAACGAGACTGGTCTTCCGGCTCCCGCCATTGCCATCCCAGCCGTCGTCTCTGAGAGCCAAAAGGAGGCACACGCAAGTCCTGAAGCAGCATCCAGCCCCGAGGTTGTCGCAGAGAAGACTGCCATGGAGTCTGAGCTGTTGCGCGAGGTCCCCAAGACCAACGAGGCCGGCGAGCCAGCCCCCGCCGTTTCCGCTGCCACAGCCACTACTGCTCCTGCTGCTACTTCTGAGACCGTCTCCAGCGACGTACCCGAGGTTGTCGCTGACAGCCAACATGAGGCACACGCTAGCCCCGAAGCCGCTGCCAACAGTGAGGCCGTAGCAGAGAAGTCGGCTGTCGAGTCTGAGCTACTGGACAAGCTCCCAAGATCTGAGGAATCTGGTGAGCCTGCTCCTGTACTGACTGCTGCAACCACCGAGACCGCACCTGCTGAGACCACACCTGCTGCTGCGACTGCCGCGGGAGCTGCGGTTGCTGCGACCGCTGTTGCCGGCGCAACTGCTGCTGTCGTAGCCGGCACTACCAGGGAATCAGTCAACGAGTCCGTTGCTCGTGATGTTCCGGATGTCGTCGCCGAGAGCCAGAAGGAGGCACACGTCAGTCCCGAGGCCGCTACCAATGCTGAGGCTGTCAGCGAGAAGCGGGCTATGGAGACTGAACTTCTTCAAGAAGTGAAGTCAACTGAGGCTACCGGCGAGCCAGCTCCCAGTGCTGCTGTTGTAGGAAGCCAAAATGCTGCCGGTCTCTCCGATGAGGCCCTTGTCGACACTAAGCCACTCAAGTCCTCCAGCGAGCCCAACGCACTCAACGCGCCCGCATCGGAGCCTGCTCAGCCGCCAACCTCCAAGCCCATCGACTCTACTACCGAAGTCGCATTCAACAAGCAGGAGCCAACTACCACCGAGCAGACCCAGCCGACTGTCACCACCGGCGTAGAGACAACCAAGACCGAGGCCACTAGCTCTGCCCCAGCCGCACAGCTGGCCCCAGAGAGCCCCGCCAAGAACCTCAGGAAAGACTCGGACGTCTCTCCCAAGGGCACTCCAGGCAGCCAGAGCATCGCTTCCGGTGCTGACGATAAGAAGAAGAAGCGCCGCTCTTTCTTCGGCAAGATCAAGGACAAGCTATCCAGCAAGGACAAGAACTAGATGTTTCATCTGTCTTTTCTCGGTACTCTCAGGCCATCTTCATCCATCACGAGGGTTTTTGGAGCTTGGTAATACCCGGGGTTCATGCGCTGTGCTTTCTTACTCTTCCCCTTCATCGTTCGCCACGGAGTTTGTGCTTTTGGTCTATACCATTTTCCTTCCTGTGTCTGACATGTTCCATAGCAATCTGTTGCGTCATTTCTGTTCATATGCATCTCGAGACGTAAGAGAACGTGGGTAGACGGAAGAGATTGCACTCATAGTATACCTGGGTTGCTCGAAATAAGTTGGCCACCGATGTCGAAACGTGGGGTATTGGCATGCCAGCGGGATTGTATTTAATTTGCTAATGACGATGCGTTAGATTCGCTTCACACTAATCTCATCTCAAAACCTCGACCGCCCGTCACATTCATCATCAACTATTGACTTTCACAATGGACGAACGATCATCGATGTGGTAGCATCACTCGTCCACAGCCCGTCACTATCGAGCACATGAATTCACTATACGCGATGTTCGTATCGCACTGTGCACATACCATGGCGCCTTCCTCCGTCTATAGAACTTGCCTCCCATAAACATCCATACGATTCTAACGTACCACACACAGGAACAACAACCCACAGTAACTACACGGCTCTACTACTTTAACAACGTCAAAGACTCAGTTTCGAACATATCGAAACAAAGACTAAAGTAGACACCTTCCACCAACTCAACACAACAATCACGGCCGCTCAACGCTATGTCGTTCTACGGTTTTGCTCATGGCGCCGACCGCCATGACACAGGCTGCACTCTTCAGCAGTTACCTCAACCACGCAACATTTCCCGTCACATTCGCAATCACAGCGAAGGCTCCCAATACCGACCCACGCACCATGCCAGAGTTCGCTCTCGTTATGGAGCTGCAACGGAATTAACGCAAATGATCGATGACCATGCGGCAACATGGCAATCTCTTATCGCACCTGCTCAGAACAATCGGCCAGCTAGTCAGGGCACTATGATCGTCGATTGGGATGGTAATATGAAACCGATCGTTCACTACCGAAGGAAGTCACAGGAGGAGCAGGACCTCGTGGCACTGAATCGATCATCGGCACAGCCTCTGCCTTTGTCAATCCGACGCGGTGTCCAGAACATGGATCCAATCATGATGGCACATGAGCAGAAGCCACTGCCATCGCTACCCACCGACAGACAAACACGTCTTCACTCTCACATTCGGACATCCGAGGAAAGTGATCGCACGTCGTCAGAATCACTGTCTTCTCATAATTCTTCGCGCCACGACTCTGTCATTTCCGATGACCAGCCTTCACCCCGCCGCCGCCTCGACTTGCATGTCCGGACATCTAAGAAAGTCCCTACGACCCCAGCCCCCTCATCATCAAAAACACCAATCTACGACCAACACACGAATATCAGAATGATAAACGGGATAGCAACCTACTTTCCCTCTCGCGTCTCACAAATCAGCGGTGTGTCTCGCCCGGGCTACGTCAAAGGCTATGACAATGACACCAAGATCCGATACGAGACGGATGGCCAGTCATTCTACGCGCACCGCAGTGCTGAGCAATTATTTTCACCCATATCCGACCACTTTGACGTTGATGAGTATGAGTATAGCCAAGAAGGCGAGCCGCACGTTGAAGATCAAGGGATCACTGCTCTACCGGCTAAACAAGTAAAGAGGAGGAGTAGTGTTACTAAGCTGGTGGAAAAGGTACTCTCCAAACTTGACGGGCTGGGGCTGACGAAGAAGCTCAAGGAGGAACGGAGGAGTAACAAGAAGAAGCAAAGTTGGCGGGAGCATGGGTATCATGATTGACAATCAAAAAATGGATTTGAAAACGTACTCTCAGGATCTATTCTGCTCACAGTGATGTTTGATTAGCTAACAGGAAGACAGGATACTGTTGAGTGAGTATGCGTGGGAGTGAGTGCAAATGACTCATTGTGGCTTGAGGTGGCTGCGCCGAGGATAGCTTGGCACGTGACTTGGTGGTCGCCAGTACTCCCCGGGCCAGTAAGTGTGAATTGATTTACCTATATAAGATTTGAATGCCTGGATACGTCAATTGGCCAGAGAAAAGCCGATCGCATTCGCGCCTTCATACGAGAGGTACTTTCCTACCTTCTCAGCCCAGAGCCGCCTACCTCTTCTCCACGCAACCCTCACAACAAACAACTACACAGACAACCTCTGAGATGACATCGGAATCGCGGACAGTGTTTCCTTGCAACACATGTTCTCTTTCTTTCACAAGCAGTGCGCTACAGCGTGCACACATGCATCAACCCTGGCAGTAAGATGATACTGAGCATGTAGCCGCCAAACTTATTAGACTGACGTTCTGTGACAGCATCCACAATCTCAAAAGGCGCATTTCTGAACTGCCAGCTTTATCCGAGCAAGACTTTGGAATGCTAGAAGGCAAGAGCGAGGAGGTCACGCCCCGACAGAGAAAGAACGACGATGCTCTCATACGGAAACCTCAGACAGCTGTTGCGCGCAACATTAGCGGACGCACTACCAATTCCAACCCACGGACAGAAGATATACAAGACGACCATCCCAAGACTCTGTCATCAACAAGATGTCTCTTCTGCCCCTCTTCCTCTCCCACTCCGACCACAAATCTAGACCACATGTCGACACAGCACAGCCTCTTCGTACCCACGCCTTCGCAACTCTACTCGCTAGAGTCTTTTCTCTCGTATTTGGCCGTTCTGGTTTACAAATACCACGAGTGCCTCTACTGTGGACAAGAAAAGGGAAGTGTGGATGCTGTGCAGACGCATATGCGAGACAAAGGGCACTGTATGATTGAGATGGCTGAGTTGATGGATTTCTGGGATGAGGAGGTGAAGGAGGAAGGTAGCGAGGATTGGAATTACAAGATGCAGGCCGAGACGCATCTACCATCTGGATTGGCCATTAATCCCCGGTGTAGCAATAGCGCAGATGAGACGTCATCAAGAGCTGCCAACCCAACTCTCACACCTTCGCAGCGCCACGGTCTAAGACACCGAAATACGAAACCCGCCATTACTGCCGCCGAATCCTCATCCTCCCAACAACCTCCTGCCACGCATTCACAGCCCGGTCATCTATCTTCATATCACACCAGCACTGATCCCCACCGCAACTTCACTAACACCCCGCGTACGGCAAAAGGTCTGACCGGTCTGTCCAACCAACAACTCCGCACTCTTCAGATAGTGGATATGAAAATGAAGAGCAGAGAGGAAAGCGCAAAGGCCAAGAGAAGGTATGCGTCCCAACAGCAGCCGGCCAAGACTGTGTATTATAAGACCGAGAACCCTGTGTATCAGGCTGGATGATCGGATGGGGGATGGAGGATGAATATGTGGAATATGATGATTTTGCACGCAGTGAGTTGAGGGCTACAATTGTGCTGGCAACTGGGTAGTGAGATGTTGAGTTGACCTGGGAGGTATTTAGTGAGGATGTGAAGGGTAGATGATGTAGTCGAAAACGTATGTAGACCGCAAGGGCTATGATGAAGAGCAATTTTAGAAGATGATGATGTGTTGAAGGATGCCAGGCTTACTTGTGTACTGAGCCATTTCGTCTACTGTATGCCTGACCCGGAAACTATTCACCAAGTGTACAGAGCAAGATATATGTCCTCACAAGCCTATGTAGGCGGCAAACACCCTCATAATGAGCCACCGAAGCACCCAAAGTACCCTGAAGGGAGCAACGCATACCCGGATATCTACATATCAGACTCAGCCCTCTTCACCCACAAGTCCAGATCAGCGCTATCAATAATGGAAATGCCTTCATCGATGTCCATCTCATCTTCACCGCCATCCGCGTACATTTCGTCGATGTCATTCTCATATGACTTATCAGGCTCGTCCAAGCTCATGACATTGAAAGCGCTCAAATCGCCATTGTCGATGATCTCAACCTGCGAACCCAAATCGCGGACACCCGATATGTCGGCGACTAGACTCTGATGTAGAATTCTCATGTTCCGATGCTCTTGGATGCGCGAGAGTTCTGAACCAAAAATGCACTGCTCTGAATTGTGGAACAGCTGTGATGGTAACATGCAAGTGGTGCTTTGGCGACATCCACCCTTTAATGAATCCAGGAGGTACTCATGGGAGATGATAAGAAGAAGCTTCACGCTCGAAGACTTATGTATACTGTAAAAGCTCCGCTCGGAATTGAGTCCAAGCACCTAAACCACCTTGAGGAGTGCCAGGCATATCTAACTCTACACGTTTTTCCAGTCATACCACGATGTCAAATCCACACTCGCCACAGCCTTAGCACCATCCCCCTCCTTTACCATATCATCCAGACCCTGCTCGAACCCCTCGCCTGCCTCTTCTACCCCAAAGACCTTTAGTTCCCCACTACCCTCAACATCTTCTTTGTATTCATCCTTACCACCATCATCCTCACCTAACACACTCACACCAGGCATTCCCTCGATTAGTCCCTCCAGCAACGCATTGCCAGCACACATCTTCTTGATCCTAATGTCGTCATACTCGAACAACGGCGGCAGTACACGTTTATACACAAACGGCACATCACCCTGCGGTACTGATGGGGTGGTCCTCTTCTTCCCCCTCTTCCTCTTCTTAGTCAACACCTTCTGCGCCATCTCATTCATCTGATCTTGACCGCCTTTAAAGCAGAAGTCGAACAAGGCGCGTGTCGGGGGAGGTACTTGAGTCCAATCTGGACACGCATTGCGTGCTTCGGCGAGGTATGTAGTCAGCTTCGCTCGGACATATTCGTTGCGTGAGTCACCGCTGAGTACGATAAAATCGTCGGGGTTGTCTTTCAGCATGTGAACGAAGGCGAACTGGTGCTTTGTGGGATTCGCGGGGTCGAACTGGGCGCCGAGACTGGGATGCTGGACGTATTCCATGCAGGCTAGTGTGTAAGCCTGTAGAACGGCGTTAGTGAAGTGATAGCCTAAGGTCTCGAGAAGACATACCGCCATCATGGGTGTGTCAGTCTTGTTGAGCAGTGACACCAGATTGACCAATAGCCGAACACGCGTTTGCTTGAGGTAGCGGGAGAAGCACATATGACGATTGACGTTGGAAGTGAAGTAGGCGAGTATGGTTTGAACTGGCCATTCTGACATGGGGGTGAACGATTGCATTGCCCGCGCGATAGCGCCGCGGTGCTTGAGCTGACCGGCAAATGTCGCGCCTTCTGCGACAGCAGCGCTATGGATTCGTTAGTATGAACAAGTTGTTGAATGGACTTATGAACACGGAATAAGACTTACACTTCATAGGGAAAGTACTGTTGCTGCGGGGAAGGAGAGAGAATGGTTTCGAGCGGTAGCGTCTGCTGGGCGCGGAGGCCGTTAGGTACCCTGTCGGTCTTGCGGCGGAGAAGCTCTTCAAGCGCCGTCATATCTTCAGGTGTCAAGTTCTGCGACATGTTCTCGATATCTTCGGTGTTGTCGTCCATGTTGGTGGCGGAGTGCAAGCGGACAGTGTCGATCGCAGTGAAGAGAACGCGGAGAGCGCACTTTACGCGACTGACTAAGACCTTAGGGGAGTAAATGACGCGATGAAGCAAACATTGGGCGGAGTCACGGGATGAAACTGGACAGAGTCCATCGGGAAAGCGGAGAACCCGGGCTACGCGGTTGTAAAATGCGACAACACGCCTTAATATTGGATGGCCAACACGACAGAGTACATGTGAGACGAAGATAAGGATAATCAAAGTAGCCATGGTGTACACGCAACACTTCCAGCGTGTGCGTTTCATTCGTAACTACGGCAGTTGGGAATGACTCTTAGCAAGCTGGCCAGCGGACGAAATCTGCCTATCCAGTACCGTGAAGATCTACCAACAAGCTGAAATGCTAGACCTACTGTCGCCGAATATGTATCGACGCCAAATCTATCTCCATAGTCTGTTATCCGCCCAAACAGTGTTGTAGAGAACCAAAATGCTGCTCAATCGAAGTTTAGTGTGATAACTTCACCGAGGCGTGAAAGATCGACCTCCGGCATAGTCAGGACATGCAAGACAGGTCGAGCTGGGCCCTCAACCGGGGTGACATCCATTCCGATGTCATTGGAAACCTTCAGACCATCGAGCCCATCAGCGATGTCGTCCACAACTAAGATGTCCACAGTCTCGTAGGTACGAAAACCCTGCATAGCTTTCAAGAGTCCCGTCAAGATGCGATAGTCGGCGGTGAAGGGCTGGTACTTGGTCACATCGATCTCGATGACACTGGTAGGGCTGACGCCAGAAATACTATCCGGTTTGTCATCCTTGACTATGTGTTCAGCTTCGAAGAACTCGATGAGAGCCGGTCCAATCTCAGCCAGCTTCTGGTGACGGACGTTGTGAGGGTCGAAATTGGCTTCAATGGACTTCCAGGACTCGACTAGCTGACGCATGTCCTTCAAGATAGCCTTGTTGCGGTTCTGCGTGCAGATATCGAAGTCTTTGGGGTTTTGTAGCAGCTCGTGGATGAAACGCTCGCGATAATGTGTTGGCTTGAAGCCGCGATCTTGGATGCGCTTGTTTCCGTTCTCTTCAGCGCAGGCGAGCATGTAGACCTTCTGGACGTTCGTGGCCCTGTTCTCGTATTTGGCGTACGCGGCGAGGTAAAGGCGAGCGCGGGTCTGTCGAAAGTAGCTTGAGAAGCTGATGTTGTCGTTGCTGTTGCTGCAGAAGTAGGCCAAGGCGGTCTCAAAGCCCCATTGGCCCATCGGGACGCGGTTCTTGATGTTGTACTTCACTTCTCCGCGACGGAAAAGCACGCCTGCTAAGGTGGCGCCCATGTTGACTTGCATGGCAAGCGGATGACTAGCAGGAATTGTCAGCGCTCTCCACGACCACATCTCGGGGAATGCGATAATGCTTACTCTTGATAGGGATACATGTTGTTGACGCCATTCGCAGCGAGGATCTGGTCGAGCGTGATATTAGGATAGAGAGCCGGTGAGACCTTGATGAGTTTGCGGCGAAGTACCTCACGCAGGAGCTGGTACTCAGAAGGCTCGTCGACACGTCTGACAAGAGCTGCAGGGTTAGACATCTCCAGGAATAGATGTTGTAGGAAGCTAGCAGGGTGTGTTGGGGGGAAAGGTGTCGCGGAGGATATTTGTTTCCAGAAGATACAGGCTAGCGGGAACACTAAGGTAGAGAGATAGTAGGAAGGTGAGTGAGCGGGTAGTCGGCAGGTGAGAGGGTGGGTAACATAGTGAAGGGAACACGGTAGCTGCCTATTTGCGATGCCTTCACTTCGCTTAGCTGGGCAAAAAGAAAGGGCAAAAAAGAAGATACACCGGTGTCTTGTTCCCAGATCCATATCTAGGGTGTATGTATTGGTTTTAAGAACTCCGAAGAGTATTAAGGTAAGGTGGGGTTTAATGCCCAGGTCCTGACTTGAGAGAGAAACACGTATTTCTGCTCCCAGGTCACCACTCAGCCCAAAGAATGCAACTCGGTGTTGCAAACTAAGGGCTGAGTGGTTGGACCTGGGCTCGAACGTGGATAGTCAGCGAGGTTTTTCATTTTGGGGGGGACACTTAACTAATGGTGTGTACCAACCTGCGACACGAGGCAGGCTTTACGGAATAATTGTATTACTCTCAAATTGTAGCAATTATATACCCATGGTAAGTCCAATTCTCAATATCTAGATGCAAATTTGATATCGCTGTGTTGATAAATGTGCGTGGTAAGCGGGCGCGACTCCGCTCTCACTCAGGGCAAACGACCCCACAATAGCGGTATCAGCGCGGCTGCCTGATATGAAGCGCTAAGCGCAAGACCAGGCTTGAACTACTCCGTCCTGCAAGGTATGCGCCGTTTCCCTATCGTTCATCGCCATGTGACGCGCGACCAAGACGTCACTCCCGTGCTCTTAAAAAGAGCCGTGGGGCTTTCCCCAAACCTCGTCAGATGAGGATTGCTTCAGTGGCAGCCGAGTGAACACCGTAGGCGATAAGTGCAATGCATGGGTCAGGTGGAGGCTTGAAGGAAAGAAATTGGACGCTGAAATTTGCTTGCGACGAGGCTTATGGATGTGCGAATCCTAACAGAGAGATAAGAAAGCAGACGACTCCTTTCGCAATAACTTGATGGAGACATAAAGTAATGAGGCAATGCATGATGTAAAGAAATGATAATAGTCGATGCGAAGACCACTCAGAGGGACTTCCCTGGTGAGGCAGCGCGTATTATCACGGGCATTTAGACAATAGCAAGACAATAGGGAGACGTGACAACAGTGATAGAGACAAATTCAAGCATATCCATGAGGCATGAAATGAATTCGCAAGATATTTGTGGGTGAGAGACACGGAAAAGATAGAGATTCGCGATATATGGAGTGGACGAGGAGGATGTGGTGAGGTTTGAAGCTCTGACGTTGTGAAGAGACGCGTCAAACTTCGCGCACTACACCACTTCGGGAACGGCAGCCCACATCCTCCACGTGCACCTTCCACGAACACTTCAATGAACTTTACCTTCACCGTCGGCATTACTATAGGAGCTACGTCTCGGCATAACGTGCTTCTGAGGGCTCTTCTGACTCCTCGAATTACTTCAGCTCCTTTGCAACCTTCCAGTAGCACCAGTCATCTGCTCCCTGTTCTCAAGCATACGCGTTAAGAGAGTCCTGCCGAATCCCATATTCCCGTCGACTAGTTTGGTAAGAGTAGCTAATGTATAGAGCTGGGTCAGTGATTCTGTTCTTATTGTCTGCAATGTACTGATAGCCGAGAACTGCGGAATGACCGGCATGAACGGCCAACCCGGCACCTGAAGTTGCCACGCATGTGCTACTGAGACTTACTCTAAGAGATTGCAGGATCTTAACTAGAGCGTCAGCCAACATTTCGTGGCGGTCGGCATGAATCCAACAGTGTCTGAAGCTCGTAAGTGCTGAGCTGGGCTATGAGACTTCGACAAGGCCTGTGGGGGTCAGGATGACGCATATGGTCTAGCGTCTTGGCGCTATGGCGTCTGACTTCTAGTGCTGTTGCAGCCAATACTATGTCATGACGCTTCTGTCTCGGGCAATCGCTCTCTACCAGGCAATCGCATCTCTATCAGGGACTGCGCATGCGCCATCTCGCCCAAGCGTGAAGAGGACG